CAGCCAGCCAGCCAGGAAGTCAGTCGGTCAGGGACCAGACTGATGTCTGTCTGTTTCGTTTTTGCCGCCTGTGTGTTTTGTCTATAAAGTGAGCAGACGGACGCCAAGGTGCATGTCAGTACCTAGCTGTGTACCAGGCAGGCAGGTTTGTGTGAGTGAGTGTGAGACTTGCTGGCTGTCCGGCCACACCTGACGACTCCGCTACTACGTTAGATCTACGTCTGGCGCAAATGGACGGAGGCGTGTATGTACGTGTGGTGCACTCCAGCACCCGTTTATGCACCAGAGCAGCTGCCACAGGTCCATCCATCTGCATGCAGACTGGGGGCGCCCCCAGGGAGTACAGTGAGACGCGGGTGTCACGATGAGTGAGGCGTCAGAGCCGACTCTGCCGAAGAGTGGCGCCATGGCTGAGGTGTGGCAGTTCGAGAAGACCGACAAGTGGCGGATGGACATCCAGAAGCTCTCCAAAAAGACCCAGCTCAAGAAGGCCAAGGCCCCGGACGAGGTGTCGTTCTCCTTCCCTCAGGTATGTAGGACAAGTGAGGACACAACAAAACCATGGTGTACTGTATTTCCGACATGATCCCTGGATGCAGTTCTTCATCGACCTCATTGGGCACGTTCTTTTCTACCATCTCGCGTTGCTGTCGCTCCCTGTTCTATACTGGCTGTACGGGGGCCCAAAAGGAGGGTACTTTGCGATGAGGAATCGGCTGTTCCTCGGCTATGATGCCAACTCAATCAACCAGCTGCTGCAGGCGTCAGTGAGATCTACTTACGCCATACAGACAGACAGACAGACCGACAAGTGCGGCTGTTGCAAGTACGTTGTGTGTGTGCCTCTGTGCCTGCAGGTCTCTGTACATGGTGGCTTTCTACATATAATTCCTCTATTTCCCCCGATCTGTGTACTCTGTCGAAATGTTCTACATGATCGGAATCAACTTCCTGCGGTCCCTCATCGTCGCTGTCAAATACGGGTGGGTGAGTCGGCAGGCCAGAAAACGCCGCTCATGGCACACCGACAGCTATGTGTCTCTACCGTGCAGCTATGTGTCGCGTCGCAACTACCGCGCTCGTGGAGAGCGGCTTGTGGACCAAAACGAGTTCTTGAACGAGCTCATGATCAGAGGCTGGATCAATATCAAACCGCACAGTAAGCACGCCAAAGGGGCCATCCATCCATCCATCCATTCATCCATCCATCACATCTCCTCACCTCGCAGTTGCCCAGCGAGAGGTGGAGGATTGTTCGGAGAGGCTGAAGGTCTGCAGAACGGCCCGACTGCGATTTGCACTCACCGAGGACACCGAACAAGTAATCCACACACACGCCATCGACCTCCTCACATCTTTCGATAGATGGCAATGCGTGCAGTTCACGGCGTCCGCCCACTTCATGCGGCTGCTCGGCATCTCGGACACCAGCCAGTTTTACACTTATCGACAGCACCTACCCGGGACACAAACCGACTCGCAGCAACCGGCCAAGAAACACGCCAAGAGACCCAAGAAGAGAAAGCGCCGCGCCTCTTTCGACCTCACCAATGCCATCTCTGGCCGAAATCCGGCTGTTCCGATGCTGGACGTACGTGAAGCGGAAGAGATCATTGAGGGCGATGTTCTCATGGAGGAGGGGAAACAGCAATGGACACTGCCAGTGTCCGGCTCGCCTCGCTCTGTCCGCCGGCGCATGTCTCTTGGGTCGCTGTACGATGAGGGCATTGTGATATGCGACGTGCCCGTCATCACCCTGGCCCATTACTTTGTGTCTCATGCGGTAAAGAAGGGTGTCTCGTCTGTGACGCTGTTGGAGCTGTTTCTGTTCTCGGCTGTCATTGTGAGCCTGCCTGCTGTGGCAAGGGTGGTCGACGGCTACCATCCATTCGGTGACAATACGCTGGTACACACACATGCCCATGGACGGATGGATGGATGCATCAGTGGATGGCAGTGTGCGTCTTTGCGTGTACCAAGGCCCAGTTGGTGATTGGGTGTTACTTCATTCCCACGGCCCTCAACACGTTCTCCAACTACCTCTTCCTCATTTCTGCCTTCCTGTGAGCTGTTACACCCACGGCGTGCAAGACAGAATCCACACACACAGGGGCTCCATGGCACTCTGCGATCGACATTCGGACGTGCTGGATCGTGGCTTCAGTGACTTCTCTCGTCGGCGTCTGCTCATGAACTGCTGCGGCGCATTGCTGACCAACGACCTTGACGACGAGGAGCGGGTGGCCATCGACACGGGAGACGACCCAATGATCGTCAAACTGCCCGTCCTCGACATGGCGGACTTATCAACGATCAGGTATGTGGCCGTCTCTTTCCTTGCCTACTTTACCGAGTTTGTTTGTGCGAAGGCGTTTCTATGCATGTCTCTGAGACGGGGATGGTGCAGGACTTTCTTGTTGTTGCGGCGGCTGCTGATGGACTGGGGTCGGCGTTACCTCAAGCGGATTACCATGTTTGTGGGCTTTTTCTTCGCAACCAACATTGCTCTCATCGGATGGTGAGACACACGCGAGAGACAGCGAACACACACCACACAGACACACAAACCAAAGCTCGCCGAAACAAGGGTCTCTTGTCTACATATCAGGTTCCTGTATGAGCTATACGCCTTACAAATCTTCCGGTAGGTACACTTCACGCCAACCAACCCGTCGATCGATCATGCATTCATCGAGATCCGCCTTTTTTAATCAGGCTTTCGACCGTCATCATAGCAGGTGGGCGGCTTGTTCGCCATGTGTCTCCTCCCCTTCTGCTCCTGCATGTTTGTGTGTGTGTGTGTGTACAGGCACCCACAATCTGCTGCTGTCTGTGTGTTTCGTGATACTGGTGATAAACGGCATGGCCATCAACAAGAGCGCCGAGCGACACGCATACCTGCTCGTTAGACACCAGGTAGGTACCCTACACATGACATGCGCACATGTGCCTACAAAACACGAGCCTCCCCCGCCCCCCTCCCTGTCTGCTTTCAGGACCGTCTGTCGACGATGCTGCAGCTGCGGCTGGTGGAGGTTGCTGGGGACAGCATTCTGGCGCACACCGATCAGGTCGAAATCGTCCCTGTCTCTTGCTGCCCACACAACAAGGGCATGCACCCGCATCAACCGAGCGAGATCGTCAAGAACGAGACAGAGGAGGACGAGCAGGAGCAGAATGGGGCAGAAGAGGCGGACGACCATATCACGATCCCAGTGCCATGTACGTCTCTTGTTATCATGTGTTGCTGCACTGTCTCCCTTTCTCCCCTTTGATGCAGATGATGTTCTCTCTCCGCCCCGGCCAACTGCGCAGCTACAGATGGACCAGCCGGCGATTGAGAAGCTTGAGAAGCCCACGGACGTATTGCCCCCAGTAGCCATCGGATCGCCCATGGCGCCGCTTGACCACCAGGAGGCCATGGTGATGAGCACCAGCGGCAGTCTGTCCACCGACCCAGTGCTGCATGAGCTCAACCTGGCCAGCGCACGGCTGACGATGCTCGCCAACCAAATCACACTCGACAGAGACCAGAACCCCATTTCTATCATGGGCTTCTATGCCGGCATGGAGCTGCTGCGGGCCGTCTCGGTCATCCCTATCGCCACTCTGACGGCCGTCGGTCAGTACTTCTCGCAGAATGGTGTGTAGGTAAAGTGTGCAGCGAGGCAGGGACCGAGGAAGTGGGCCTGGGTGCGTGCATGGGAGTAGAGAATGGCGGTAAAGATGACGCGAGATGGGCTGTGACCGAACAGGCAATGTTGAATGATCTGATGTGAAAGACTGCACCTGAGTGTGCGGGCGTGCTGTATATAAGCATTCGCAAGAAGAAATCACAGATAGAGTTCACATACACATGCACCAGCCAGCTCCACAGAGACACACGCATCTCAATCGCATCCACCACTCGAGCTCGAGACACGGTTCGTTCCATCGCGTCGCCCGCATCCGTATCGTATCCATCGCACCACAACACACTGCCTGTCTTTCCTTCCATCCATTTCACCATCCATCCGTCCATCCCATCCCATCCCATCAACGGCACACGCGATCCCCTCCTTGGCTTTCCATCCATCCATCCCATCACATGCACAGCCAGCCAGGCAGACAGCAGCCCCCGAAATGCAGGCAGGCAGACAGAGGGCGGGAGACAGCGAAGGGCAATAGAGAGACGACAAGTCCTGCCACCAGATGGGGGCTGGGAGGAAGGCAGAGGGAGGTGGCCAGCTGACACTTCTATGGGCATTCGCAGCCATACAAACGTGTACAGTACAATCGGTGTCGGCTTCGATGGCTCTCCACTGTCTCTCTCAGGAGGTTCGAGTGGGCTGTGACAGATCTCTGGCACTTTCTGGTGTCATCTTGCATCTTGGGAAAGCGGCTTTGCCGGGGGCCGTTGAGAGACACTGGACTGGGTTCCCGGCACCATTGCCAGCCTGCATCAGGCAAATGGATGGAACGTGTGTCTTTAGGCCCTCCCTGTATGTGTGCTTTGGTCAGTGTGCCTTCATACCTGTGGTCGTATGCGCCCTATCGATCCACGATATCGAGCAGGTAATGAGAATGCCAATGCGCGTCAGGAGAGAGCTCCTGCACACACATGAACAATCAGCCAACAGAGAGAAGAATGATCACCAAGAACTCTGCCCCTTCGGTTTGACTAATAACTCGCCAACTCACCTGTCAACTGTGTCCCGGGCGAGCCGCTCGACAGAATCACGAAACTGCTGTCCGGGTGTCTTTGCTGCGAGTCAGTCGGACAAGTACCAACACACCAGGTGTGTGTGTGGTGGTGAGAGTGCATATTCCGTGTCGGCCCACCAGGTTGACTTGAGTTGAGTTGGCCCTGCATGTCAATGTCTTGCTGCTGTGTGGTGCGGGCCGCGGCAGCCCCGTCTCACTCGGCTCCTTTTGACGAACCAACTGCTGGCCTTCTTCCATCTGGGCTCTCCGTCACTGTGCTGGCCTCTTGAATGGCTGGGTGCGTCAAGCCGAGCAACTGGCACCCGCGAGACGCTGTGCGTGTCATCCTGGCTGTCCGTCAGTCTCCTCGACAGCGCGTGTTGGTCTTGGGTGAATGGACCGGCTTCGCTGAGTCGCTCGTCCACTGGACCAAAGACACGCAAATACACATACAGAGACGCTGTGTGTGAAGTGTGCCGTGTCGCTCGGTTGCCGTACTTACGTGTGGAGATGTTTGATGCCCCTCGGCCGATGTCTCCTGCGTCCTCTCCAATGCCGCTCGCTGTGGTCGTGTGCAGCCGCCTTTGTGTCTGTCATCCCTTCATTCCCCGGCATTCTGCCGTCTGTCCGTCACGTCCTGATCATGAGACTTCCCCACGATTGACTGACTGACTCCAACGCTCCGCACACTCCTTCAAGTGTCGCTTCCTTCATCATCACACACGGCCGCATCACCACAAGAAGTGAACAACTTGGCCACGTCAGCGTGAGGCGGTGGATCACATCAGCCCTCAGCCCCCTCGCCGCGCCATATCGAGATTTGCCGGCTGCAACATGTCGTGTCTCCTCTCGACGCCGCTGCTGCCTTGTGCAGGCAGGCCTCTGCGATGCCGTCCCGCCAACTCCCCTCGTCCGCCCATCCGTCCGCCCTGACCCTCCAACATCCGCCCGGCAGCACACGCCTTGCTGTGTCAGCTCCTTCACCATCATCACGCACGCCGCAGCTCCACCACACTCAATCGACATCACAGCAGCTCCATTCGGCCGTCTCTCTCTCCCCCCCCCGCCCCCCACTGTGCCGGTCCGTCGCGCCTTCCTTCTCGAGGAGCCGCAGAATGGAACTCACGAGGGACCGACATGGTGGGGACGCTCACGGGAGGTCGGCGGAGAAGTCGAGCTCGGTCTCCGACTCGATGGCCGCTTGTGATGTGTGTCGGCAGGTGCAGCTGCAGCTTGAGAAGGCTGCTGTGATCCGAGTCATAACAATGGCGAACAGGGTGCTGCAAAACAAAGGCGAGGCAGCGAATTGAGACAGATTGTCTGTCATGTCTCGTGCCCCATCCACCCACCTCTTGCCGTTGTTGTCTCGCTTCGGAGAAGCCTTCGAGGTAATGTTGCATGAGATAATAGTTGAGTCGCCGCCACCCACCCGAGCCGCAACGGACACACCAGCGGGCGGCTGGCCAACGGCATGGCGCGGCTCGTGATACAGCGGCGGTGCCCCGCCACGAAACAGATGTGCCCACCAGTCACTGAGAAACGCTTCTTGTGTCGCCCCCCTGCGACAGATGTAGTCGAAATGGTGGTTCTCGTGGTTCAGTAGGATCATCGTAGAGCGCTCGTCGAAAGCCTCCGACTGACAATCAAACACCTCGTGGCCCAGCCGATAGTCGCCCGGGCGATAGAAGTATGTTGCCAGGCGCCGATTAGTTCGGTCGAAGACAATAACGACACAGCTAACCCCAACACATAGAGAGATGCCGCGACTACTCCCTCGTTTGGCCATGTCGGCTGCCTCCAGCCACGCTGAATGAGCCACTCCTGTGCCACCATCGATCGAAGTTCCGCCAGCGCGTTTGGGAACAGCCGGCTGAAAGGAATCAGCTGGTCTCCCTGCCACCATCGTGCCGTCGCGCAGTATGATACGCTTCAGCTCCAGTGGACTGGGAGAGATAAGCCCACCACTCTGCTCCCTGAGACGCTCGGCGAGGCAATGGAAGAAGCAGTGGTTGTCCCCCGGCTGCTGGATGACCGTGAGCGGCACGCGAAGACAGCTCAGCACTTGCCTCAGTCTCATCAAGTCGCCCGAGAACTGCATTCCTGTCAGACTCGGCTCATGAAGGACAGCGGTGAGGTGTCTTCTCTCCAGGTCAAGATCAGCGCGAAGTCTCGGCTTGCGCAGCTGGAACTTTGGCGGCGCTCCTGTGGACTTGATATGGCGAGGGTTGCCGCGCAGCTGAGCTTGTTCCGCTGCTTGCGAATATTGCGCGACAACCTCACAAACATGACGTCCTGCAGCAGCTTGTTCGGCACCGAACGCAACGACTCCCGACTGACCGCACCTAGACAGACAATCCAAGCAGCGCAACGCTGATGATGTGTGTTCCTTCTCCCTGTGTCTCCCTGTCTCTGCTGTGCCCACATGCCCCTTGTCTTTCACGGCTTGTTGACCGCAGTTTCACAACACACGGTCAGATATCACAGAGCACGTAGCGCTTGCCACGATGCATCTTTTGTTTTCAGCTTCACGAGACGCGCAGTCAACCAGACGTCTCGTACCT